CCCTGTTATGCAAATCGGTCCTGCTACTTATCATATATGTTCCCCGATCGGACAGTGGTAAGTCAATAGACTTACAACGTTAAAATCTGGGGTTACTACATACAGAAACATTTGGCATCAATCATTGAACCCTGTTATGCAAATCGGTCCTGCTACTTATCATATATGTTCCCCGATCGGACAGTGGTAAGTCAATAGACTTACAAATTTAAAATCTGGGGTTACTACATACAGAAACATTTGGCATCAATCATTGAACCCTGTTATACAAATCAGTCCTGCTACTTATCATATATGTTCCCCGATCGGACAGTGGTAAGTCAATAGACTTACAAATTTAAAATCTGGGGTTACTACATACAGAAACATTTGGCCTTTAATTATTAATCGACAAAGAGAAAAAAAATTCTAAAGTTTACTGACTTTTAAAATATATTATAATTTATTCGATGATTTTTAAAGCATCTCCCCAGTTAGGCTTAGTGACAAGCTTATAACGCTAAAAAATCGGGTTTCGACACCAGCAGTGGGACCAGAACAAATAGTCCATTTTAACAAAAATAAATAAATTTTTTGTTTGTTTTTTGAAATTTCGCAGCAAAGATACGCGAGGGTTATTTGCGCTAGACGACCCTAATTTAGTAGTGAGAGACTAGAAGGAAGGCAGCTATTCAACATCACCCACCGTCAACTCTTGGGCTATTCTTTACTAACGAATAATGGGATTGATCGTATCGTTATAACGCTTCCGCGGCTGAAAGAACGAGCACGTTCACGAATAGGATTCAAACCCGCGGCCCTCAGAAACAAACTTAAAACATATTTTTGACTGATTGTAAATACTGTTAATCACTGACTCGTGGTTCAGCTTGTAAGTCTGAGAGATTATAACGCTAAAAACCGGGTTTCGATCCCAGCGATGAGCAGAGTTTAGATAGCCCATTGTGTGGCTTTCTGTTTAACAACAAACAAAGCCTAATGATAAATATTATCATGTTGACATTTTCAAAATAAATATTGTACTTCGATCATTACAAAAACTATTATTTGATTACGTTTAGAATATCTAACTAATTGCTTATAACTCCAAACATACTGTTGAACGTCCTGTGTGTTTAAGTAGCAACAAAATTTTGGAAAAGGAATAATAGCTATGGGAATAAATTATTGCGCTTCAAAACCTTTACAACAACGGGCCACAAAGCACGTTGAAATTTGATATTTGTCTTAAACTAGGCGTTGTTGGTTTAATTCGAGACTTATAAAGAAGAGCCTCAGTTTAGTTTGTACCTTTATAACTTCGAGATTTTAAACAAATCTATTCAACTAAATAAATACCACTAGGTGGTGCTAATACATGTAAAACTAAATAGTTACCAACAGATTTTGCTAATATATGTACAACTAATTTGCAACCACCAGGTGGTGCTAGTACATGTAAAATTAAATGGCTACCACCAGATGAGTGTTAGTATAAGAACAACTGAATATCTACCACCAGATGGTGCTAGTGCATGTCCAACTAAATACTTTCCATTAGATGGTGCTAAAAGATGTCTATCCAAATAGATCGCGTAGAACAAAAAGCTACACTAGGTAGAATTACCACGTGTTCATTTAATTAACTGCTAACAGATAATGCTATGAAAATATAAATGTACAAAACAGGACGTAACTGAAAATTCTGAATTTCACGGTTGTTTTTTACGCCTTCAAAAAATACAGTTTGAGTAACACTGACTTTACAGTGAGACTATTTAAGAAAACTACTTAACGTCAGAAAAAAACTGGCAGTAAAAAAAAACTTATCATTCAGAAAAATTGATGTGCCACACGTTACACGATATGAACGTTTAAACTTAGCAACTTACAATCAAAACAAGTTTTGTGTAACACCGAAAGCTCTGCAGCGTCGTAAGAAGCGGTAAGATATAGCTATAACTTATGTATTAAAACTTGCTTCTTTTAATTCAATACATTACATTGTGTATATGCAGTATTTATAGTTAAAATGGCTCATGATTCAATCACATAGCATTACATTTTCAAACATTTTGTGGGGGGCATTTCCCCAGATACCCCTAGAAATCGTGTGTCACATTGTTTAACTCTGACTGATATTTACAGTACAATAAAGCGGATTTCTCCCATTACACAGAAAGTTGTCAAAAGATTCTACATTAAAAGACACTTCTCAATAACAATATCAAAATATTCAGGAAGATTTATTTCGGTTTAAGCAACAAAGCTACTTTAGCAACACTTTGTTAACTGATAAAAAAATCGTTGTATGTTCCTAACATTTTATATGTGTTACTGTGTAGAGCAAAGAATTATCCAATCAGCAATCTCACTAAAACTCTTTTGTTTCAATATGTCTAACGAAACTGTTCGGGCCTTTTCTAATGTTTTTATGTCAAAACTTTAGCCATTAGTAACATCACTATATAAACACGAGTCTCACTATGTAAAACATTTTGTATAAAAACTATTACCAGAAATTAGAGTTGATGTTTTTTAAATCGAATGTTGCAATCGTTTAGAAATCAAATGCAGGAAATTTAAATTTAAATGTCTAAAGAATTCGTGATACTGATATTTCTATCCTTCATATTTGCGAGAAAACTTTCCATTTTGTTATCCGTTTTCCTTGTTGTTTACTGAAATTAAACATCTTATTTTACAATCTAAGCCCCCATGTGGCACAGCGGTATGTCTGC